TCCTTCTAATGAAATGGTTGTTTATTACTTTGATTACTATGATGCATGTCTTGTGATACTAAACATGACGTCCTCCACCCCAGATCGTTTCCACCGTTCCGGTTTTGGGGTGTGACACAACGTCTCTGAAACCACCGTGCTTCGGTGTCCAGATCCGACCCATGAGGTAAAAGGCTCCATCACTCTTGACTTCTAAGTTCTTATCCATCCCTCTTAGGGATTCACCTACCACATTTTCAGGCTTTAAGGCTTCCTGTTGAGCCTCCTTAATTTGTGTGGACAGATGTGAATGGATTGTCATAGTCAATGCCTTGACTCTACATCCTAAGTACTCTTTCTGACTTAGGGCGCCAGCTACTACATTGGCTTTACCAGGATGATAACGAATTTGGCATTTGTAGTCATTTAATAGCTCGACCCACCATCGTTGTCTCATGTTGAGCTCCTTCTGTTCGAATATATGTTGAAGGCTTTTATGATCTATAAAGATAGTGCTTTTCGTACCATACAGGTAGTGTCTCAAGATCTTCAGAGCAAATACCACTGCTCCTAACTCAAGATCATGAGTAGTGTATTTGACTTCATGTGTATTAAGTTGTCTTGAGGCATAGACGATAACCTTTCCTCGTTGCATAAGAACACAGCCAAGCCCTTGGTTGGATGCATCGCAGTATACCACAAAATCTTCTATCCCTTCTGGGAGGGACAATATCGGTGCGTTGCATAAGGCTTGCTTAATAGTTTGGAACGCCTTTTCTTGTTTCTCTTCCCAGTTAAAGGTCACACCCTTTCTGGGTCAAGGTGGTAAGTGGTTTCGCGATCCTTGAGAAGTTCTGAATGAATCTGCGATAGTAGCCAGCGAGGCCTATAAATTGATGAATTTTCGTAGGCGTCTTTGGTGCTGACCAGTTCTCAATGGCCTTGATTTTTGAAGGATCCACTTAAATTCACTCTTCGCTAACCACATGACCCAAGAATTCGACTCTTCGAATCCAAAATTCGCATTTAGAGAACTTCGCATAAAGCTTCTCTGCTCGTAGTGTTTCTAAGATCTGTCGTAAGTGTTGACTATGTTCCTCCTTACTGCGTGAGTAGATGAGTATGTCGTCAATGAATACGATCACGAACTTATCTAAGTAAGGACGGCACACCCGGTTCATTAAGTCCATGAACACTGCGGGCGCATTGGTTAATTTGAAAGGCATTACTACAAACTCGTAGTGACCATAACGAGTTCGGAAGGCTGTTTTGGGAACATCTTCCTCTAAAACTCGTAACTGGTGATACCCGGATCTTAAGTCAATCTTTGAAAAGTAGCTTGCTCCTTAAAGTTGGTCAGACAAGTCGTCTATCCGTGGTAGAGGTTATCGGTTCTTAACGGTATGTTTGTTTAGCTCGCGATAGTCGATGCACATACGGAACGTTCCATCTTTCTTCTTCATGAACAAGACTGGTGCTCCCCAGGGTGAGAAGCTTGGTCTAATGAATACCTTGCTTAGCAGTTCGTTCAGTTGACTGGATAGTTCCTGCATCTCTGCTGGTGCTAGTCGGTAAGGCGATTTGGCTACAGGGGTAGCTCCTGGAATTAAGTCGATTCTCAACTCAACTTGACGTTATGGTGGTAATCCTGGAAGACCTTCGGGAAAGATGTCGAGAAAGTGGCGGACTTATGGGGATGTTCTTTATGTCTTTCACCTTTTGGGTCTTATCAACCACGTGAGCAATGAACGCATGATATTCCTTTCGTAAGTACTTCTGGGCTTGAATAGTCGAGATGATTCTAAGGTTCGTGCCTGGTTTGTCGCCATAGATAAATAGGGTTTCGCTATTCAGTAGATTAAGACGAACGGCTTTCTCAAAACACATGATGTCATCACGACGAAGACACAACCAATCCATGCCGATAATGGCGTCGAAAATTTTTATTGTGACAGGCATGAGGTCGATTTGAAATGAATAGTTATCTAGAGTGAGGGTGCATCCTATGTATATATTGTTAGTGCTCTCAGTCTTCCCATTAGCCATTTCTATAGTGAACGTTTCTTTTAGTGCTTGTGGTTGTTATTTAAGTAAGTGTTTAAATTTTGAGCCGGCCTAGTAAACTTAAGGGATTGTGTGTTAGGAAGTGTTAGCAAGAGATCAGTGGATTGCATTTGAGCCGTAAACACCTTCAAAAGGTGTTCACGGCCGTGAACCCATCCTTGGGCCGTGAACTACCCGCTCCCCTATATATATATATATATATATATATATATATATATATATATATATATATATTATATATATATATATATATATTATATATATATATATATATATATATATATATATATATATATATATATGGGAGTTAGCCATTTTTCTCATCACTTCTTCCCTTCTAGCCGTGAACAACTCCTTTCTCTCTCAAGTATCATCTTCAAAAGGGTCTCCTTTCTCCTCAAAATCGTAAGTAACTTATCCCTTTGTTGTGATTATAAGAATTTCATTGCTTTCATGTATTGATTCATCATCTTTTCATCAAAGATCTTCAAGTGTTCTTGGCCGTGAACCCTTCATAGGGTCGTGAACCTCCATCTTGGACCGTGAACCCTCCTTATCTTCATCATTTGGGCCGTGAACACATCAAGTGTTCTTGGGCCGTGAACAACCCAAGGGTCGTGAACCCTCCTTGTTGGGCCGTGATCATCTTTCAGCCTTCTACTTTCGATTCTAACACTTTATTGTAAGTGTTTCCTAGATCGTAATGTTGTTTCCCTTACACTTTAGTTGTTATAAACACTAATTGTATGCCTATATATGTTAATATATGCTAAATAGGATCTGTTTGTGCTCGGGACTTCACTAGTGATACTTAGCATCCTATATCGATCTTTCATTCGAATCACTCACTACAGGAGATTTCATACCCCTACAAATACACTTTTAAATGCTTTTAGGGAGGGAATACAAGTAAAACACAATACTAATGTGTTAACCATTTACGTGTGAAAACAGTAAACAAAAGGAAATCTTATACTCAAAAACTTGTTAAAACTCTTTTAAACTGCTTTAGACTTCTTTTATATCAAAATCATATTCGTCTATGTATTTACGTATAAGTATGCTTTAACGGACTTAGGACTACTGCTAAATACCTTAACTCCTGTTCCTTGTTTGGTTGTGGGCTTAGGGTAGGATCACTAGTTTGACTGTCGGCTAAATCATAATTATGCTCATTAAATACATATATGAATATTAAACCCATTTTTAAGGATTATACTTAACTTAGTTTCTTATGGTGACTAATTGAGTCTTTTCTAAAAATCAGAAACAGTCAAACAAACATGCTAGTAAACTATAATAGGTATAGTTTAGGGGATTACTACTTACTACTTCTAGATCAGTGAAACTTACATGAGTCAGTTCATACATGAGTCAGTTCATACATACTATAACAAGAACAGGAAGGAACATACTATAACTAGAACAGGAAGGAACCTACACACTATCACTAGAACAGGAAGGAACATACATACTATAACAAGAACAGAAAAGAACATATATACTATAACAAGAACAGAACAACTAGAATGTGAAACACTATTTCATGGCATAGCAATATACTTGTTGTGTCACGTTTTGTAACCAGAGTCTCCTGTAAGGAGAGCGTGAGTTTGTGTATAGATCTATACGGGATTGACCATCCAACACCTTGATGCTAGCTATAGTGGGACCTGCAGGTCTACGGGTGACAAATGTCATACCATTTCGACGTCTTTAGAACGTCGTGTTTTATACTAGTCAATCAAGCATGGTTATAACCTTATCATATTTTTAACCTTAATTAACAAATTGGTTTTAAGGTAGTTAATGCTTCAGTAGGGTATCTTTACACCACACTACTGTACATCTTCATTTTCCATTCATTCATACATGATATCCTCATATTGAGGAATGCAAACTATTTTTCTAGTAAAGATAGTCATAAACTTGGAAAAACATACATTCTTACGAAAGAACAAGCATACAAAACAGTTTAGTCTTGGTAGAAGACTACTTTTCATTTAAGTAGAAAATATAGGATTTTCTGGAAAGATACAAACCTTTTTACTACATATACAAACATATTCATCAAAACTAATACAAACAATTGACACAAAAATACTTATGAACTCACCAGCTTAAATGTTGATGTACTCTTTCAAAATAACTTGTATTCTCAAGTCACCAGTAAACAGGTACAGATGACCAGGTTTTGAGAAGACGGATCATATTCAAGACTCGTCTTTATTTTTAATTACATATTTTGGTGTCTTACAACTTTACACAGAACACACTTGTATTAACTATATTATTAATGAAATGGATGATGTTGTTGCTTGTTTTACTATTGTGCATTGTTATGATATTGTACATGACGTCCTCCGCCCCCGAACGTTTCCTCCGTTCCGATTTGGGGGTGTGACATTTATGCACCCTGGTATTCTCCAACCTGCACATCACAAAGAAGACGAGGCTTAGAGCAAAAGACTCTCTGGATATATAATGATAAACACAATACTAGCTAGTTACCTCTTCACCCATGATAAAGACACTGGAATCATCAGCCATTTCCTCATCAAGAGCAGAGTTCAAACATCTCTTATTTTCATCTGCAAAAATATGAAGTTAAATCTATATATAGCAGTTTCTCTAAAACCTAATTTCTACACTATGCAAAAGATCTACTAGTGTTTAAATCCCCTTTTGGTTTAATATTATTGATATGTAAAATCAGAAGAATCCTTATTACATATGGTATATTTCCAATTTGGGAAAGCTTGTGAAGGGTCTTCTTGAAAGATAATATTACAAGGTACAGGGCAAAAGAACAATATTACAATTACTAATGACAAGGGGAGACCTTCAAAGGATGAGATTAAGAAGATGGTTCAGGGAGCTGGGAAGTATGAGTCTGGAGATGAGGAACACAATAAGAAGTTGGAGGTGAAGAATGCTTTGGAGAATTATACGTAAACATGAGGAACACAGAGAAAGATGAGAAGCTTGGTGAGAAGTTGACTCCGGTTAATAAGAAGATTGAGGATGCGATTGATGAGGTGATTGTGTGGTTAGATACGAACCAGTTGGCTGAGGGGGATGAGTTTAAGGATAAGATGAAGGAGCTTTTTCCCATTTTGAAACTTTTAGGTTAGAGAGAGATAGAGGGAGATATAGAGAGAGAGAGAGTAGGAGAGAGAGAGGGGGGAGATTGAATGAAGAAATGTTGGAGGCGCTGGAGGTGGGTGGAGGCGGAGGCCCTAGGGCTTCTTGTTGCTAATTGAAAGATCAACATCGATGGAAAAAGGTGGAGGCATCAGTAGAGGGAACAAGGTAAAAAGAGAGGAGATCAAACCATTTAATGTGAGGGTCGATTTGGAAGAAATCTCAAACCCTTAACGTTAAACATGATGTGAAGCGATTGATCCATAATCTTCTTCGTCTCCATCAATTCCTTGGGCTCACATAATCGGACGATGGTGGTAAATGAAGCATTCTTCGAGAAGGAAAGTGCATCGCCGCAGTTTGAGGCTAGAAGAGGCAACGACGATTGGACGCAGTGGATGTGGGTGAGGGATGGAGGCGAGGGAGAAGAAGGTGGGGGTTTAAAAATTTTGGGGATTTCATTTTCCCTCGGAGACGCGCGTTTCTAAAAAAATATAAAACGACATTCACAGAGGACGCACAAGTGCCCTCCGTGTTTTTAATTTTTTTACATGAGACACTAATTTAAGGGAACGCAATAATGCGTTACCTAAATCCTTAAATTTTTTGAAGAGATGACACTTTTTTTAATGTCACTCTCTTTTGCGTAACATAAATCAATGAGTGTCGTGGTTTGCACGTCGTAAAAGGCTCTTTTTCTTGTACTGTAGGGAAGTAAGATCTGAGTTTGGATCGAAGTCTTATTGGATTCAGAGTTGAATTGGTTTTCTTTTGCTTTCCTAAATTTGATGACTTGATGCTTTTCCCTTCGCTTTTTTTTCCTTTAGCAGAGAAACAACATACCCATTGCGATTTCGAGAAGTGTATGATAATATCATCTGTGTTGTGATTCCTTGAATCTTCTTCAATAGTAAAATAGAGATTGAAAAGGGGAAGGACAATCATTATAGAAACAGAGCACAAGATCCAAATTCCCTTTCACAAGATGTCATGCCAATAAACGTTAAACCCCCCAAATCATATGATTGTGTTCCATGTTTAGAAGTTGGAACACCACCAAAAATCTCGCATTGAACCCTACTCAGATCTACGATTTGAAACGGCGAAAAGCAAGGACAATATCAAGTACGACACTGCACAGGCGAAGTTATCGGAAGACAAAACGTTGATAGTTGCGTACAAATCTGACACGCCGTTGGAAGGCGGCAAAATTGCAGATTTCTGAGCCTGTGGATCTCTTCTCCCAAATTGGTAAATCGCATCATTTGAGTTGCTCATGTGGGAGGTTAATCATGAAACACTAGCAATATTTTGGGTATCCTAAATTTTGAATCATGTACTTCATGTATGAAATTTCACTCCTAAATCACTTGGCTCCCATCGGGAAGGGGGGGTAGTTTGAGCAACCCTTTTTTAAAGATAAATTTATTCTGATTGTTAAATTTTTAGAGAGTTAAATAATAAATTCCGCACCAATTGCAATAAATCTTATTACCAAGTCATTAAATTACACATTTACTTATTCTCTTAAACTTAATAATTTGCAATATATATATATATATATATATATATATATATATATATATATATATATATTCTATTTCGAAATGGAAAGTGATTGGTACACAATAATTTTTTGTCATATACAATAACATCAGTTTTAAAGGATTTTATATTAGGTATAGTATACAACCTTCTAAAGCATAAATTATTGTGTATGACAAAAAATTATTTTGTACATATCAGCTCCATTTCGAAATATGTATCTTACTTTTTCAAAAAAAAATAAAAATAAAATAGGTATTGTTAGGCCATTTTACCTATTAATTTCTTATACAAACTAAACTTGTTTTGGGTAAAGAAAAAGTGGTCCAAAAAATTAAACATAAATCTTATGAATATACAAATATAACATCGGAATGTTGAAAAATCAAAAGACCTACAACCCCTAAGTGGCAATAGGCATCTAAAACTTATAATCACACAACAAGTTGGGGCTAGACTATTTGACTAACATGGTGTCTAACAATGAGGTATTAGATTCAATCACAGACATACACTAACTCGCTGTTAAAAAAACATACAATCACACCCAACATAAGAAAAAGAAAAACTAAATGACTTAATTAGTAGGAGCTATTTTACGCAATCATTTTCTTGTTATACACAACAATCAGTTATTTTGATATATTATTGGATCAGTAAGAATCGTGCACGCCAATAAAGGAATAACTTGCAAGTGTCACACTCATGTTGGTGGATTCGGGGACATAAATTCCATGTATAATGTATAATTATAAATAATTGAATTCCAATTACATAATAACTAAAAAGATGAAAATCGAAAAATCGTATTGGAGATAACGAATTTTGTTTATCATAAATAATGAAATTCTTAAATTCTGCTGCAGAAATAATATTATCGAAAAAATAATTAATTATAAATAGACAAATATATGAGGGTTTTTAAGTTAGATTTTATTTTAGGTAACTTTCAACCCGCTTTTATTTTAGACAATATTATAATTTTTTTTAATCATTTATAGATAGTTTATATTAGCAAGATAGCTTATTTTTCCTAGAAACTAGTCGAAATTATCTCATTAATGTATATGTCAATTTATCAAACATATCATGATATTTAGGGCCGGCCGTGAGGATGTGCAGAGGTGCAGCCGCACAGGACCCTGAAAAAATTGGGCCCGAAATTTTACTAAATTATTTAATATAATATTTTAAATTGTATATATTTTATATTATTCAATTCGAAAAGTAAAATATGTTTGGTTTAGCTGGTTGAAGATTCTATGATCTATGCTTAATTTAAATAGATTTTTACTCAGGTTACACTTTCAGCCCTTCAATGTATGTTTCATATTTTAAAATCTATCACACCGTCCAAGTTCCTTACAAAATAGATTTTAGAAATACATATTTATCCCCTCAATTTTAGAAAAATGACATTTGTCCTTCTTTTCATTAATTAAACTTTACTTTTCAGACAATTTACGATCTTATATTTTTATTTTTTATTATATATATATATATATATATATATATATATATATATATATATATATATATATATATATGAAAAAGTGAACTTATCAAAAACTATATAATTTGGATTAAATATTTCATAATAATAAAAGCTTATTTGTTTTCTTACATATTCTCCTAGTTAATCTCCAACGTATGCGTCTTCGTCTTCCTTGTTATCTATTCACTTTCTTCATTTTTCATTTAATTTCTTATGAAAATATTATTCAAATAACCCATTACATAACTTAAACAAAATCCAATTTGGAAGAAATCAAATTGCAGATATGTTCGTTTATTTTTGAAATTTCTAGTCATGATTAAATCAACAATACTGCATTAACAATTTTGAAACATAAAATTATTTTTTTGACAAATCATATTATTTTTTTCTTCATTGCTTTTTCTTTTGCTGCAAAACTACTATTTGTAGTGATGGAATTAAATTGAAATTATGAAAGCTCGTGTTATACAAATGCATAACGAATTATATAATATAAAATAAATAAAAATGTTTTAAATGGATTTTGAGCTCGTAGCAGTAAATGTTCGCAAATGAAAAACGGTTTGTTTTCTAAATGGTTGTTAAAATCATAAAATAAATGATTAAAATAATAATTCTGAATGACGAGGTGATTTAACTGATTTTTTTTTATCGAAACTACACTAGTTTTATCAAGTCTACACCTAAACTTTCATAAATGACAGGCATATATTCATCAAGCCCATATATATATATATATATATATATATATATATATATATATATATATATATATATATATATATATATAGGTGCCCATTTGTTACGATTTGCAAAGGGCCTTTAAAATCAATGGACCGACCCTGATGATATTCAAAGAATTATATATTGGTATACGTAGATTAACATGACAAGCCAGTATGACAGTTACACTCAACTTAACATGAACAAATGTCACACCATTAGAGCGAACAGTGAATAGTGTCAAACAGTGGGCAATATGGTAAACCCCAGTGGTGGCCCTGGGGGTGTGCGGACGGTGCAGTCGCACGGGGCATCCGATTTTAGGGGCCTCCAAATGTCAGGACAAATCTATAGTTATATTGTTGGTATTTTAATAAAATGCATTTTTATGTGTTATCATTAAAGAAAATCAGTTGTCGATTATTTATATACACAGTGTAACATTTGGTTGCAATCTTCAATTCATTTTAATTATGAAAAAAAAATCTAAATTAAAATCTAAACATAAGTTCTAAAATTTATCAATAATTTAAGGAAAATATCTATATCAAAAGAAAATTACAAATTTGTTTCTAATATATATTCTAGCAAATGGTTTCATATTTTTTAAACCCTAATTTCGGGGTTTTGCACCCTATTTTAGCATCTTAATCCCCTCATGCTAGCCTCATTTCCATCCTCCACGTCCTAAACCCTAAATCCAGAAACCCTAATGCATTTGTGAGCTTGTGAGCCATTTTTGAGTGAAGCTTTGTGTGTGTTGAAGCTTGTGAAGGAAGGAGAAACTTGGGGATTCAAGAAGAAGCTAGTAGATCCAGAGACTCCATTTCATCCTCATCATTTCCTGGTAAGCAAGTCTGAAACTTGCTTAGTAACTTCTTAGATCTTCTTATTATCATTTTATTGGTTTTTTGGTCCAAGAAGCATAACCTTTAGGAAATGGACGTCCCAAGTAAGTATACCATCAGATTTGGAACCATGGAGGGCTTTCATGGCATAAAGGTGCAAGCTTTATGGCCATTGAAGCCCCATGCAAGCTATAGGATGTCATTTTGGCCTTTTAAGCCCCAAAAGGCCATGCATGGAGAGAAAGGTGGAAGCTTTACATGTTCTTGTAGTGTCTAGGGTCAAGATCTCAGTTTATATGACTTGGTTTAGAGCATTGATGGCTTTAGGATCAAGATCTAGGTCTTAAAGAGTTAGGGTTTGAGCTAAACCCATTAAGGAAGGGTATTAACGGGTAAAGTTGGAAACTTTACCCTTAAAATGACATTTTCAATATGTCATGAAGTATGGAGCTTAGACCTAAAGGATGGGAGCTTAATCCATTAAGATGGCTTAACAGACTGAAAAACGCGTCGAGTCCATAGAGCAACTCGACGAGTTCGGTCGAAATGCCCCGACTCCGTAGAAGGAAAAACTCGACGAGTTCAGGACGGACTTTACGAGTGGAATTAGAAATTCCCGATTCTGATGACAGGAGAAACTCAATGAGTTCGTGAAGAACTCGGAGAGTTGGATCACGATTTCAAGGTTTCTGATTTATGGATCTCGGAGAGTTAATCGGTCAACTGAGCGAGCTGAGTCAACCCATAATGTTGACTTTGACCTGGGGTAAAATGGTGATTTTACCGTAAGAAGGATTATTGGATTTTTACTATGTGTTATTGTGATAATGATAGCCGAGGAGTCGTTGGAGCAGGCGTTAGAGATTCCCCACCGTGAGATTTCACAGTCAGCTTTGCGAGGTGAGTTTTCCTCATGGTTTAAACGGGTCGAAAGCACCAAGGCCCGCCCGTATATGTTTTGATTAGTAGCTGAGTGTCGGCGAGGCCCGTATCTCATAGATAACCAAGTGTGGGCGAGGCTCGTATCTCATAGCATTATTTGAGTATGGATATAGGAATGATTGATAGATTTGATTATACTTGGTGTATGTGTGATACTTGTATGTATGCTTAGTAGCTGAGTGTGGTCGGGGCCCGTATCTCATAGTTAGTCGAGTGTGAGTGGGGCCTGTATCTCATAGATAGTCGAGTGTAGGCGGGGCCCGTATCTCGTAGTCAGCGGAGTGTGGGAGAGGCCCATATCTCCTAGTTAGCGAAGTGTGGGCGAGGCTCGTATCTCCTTGAGTGTAGGCAGGGCCTGTATCTCCTAATATCATCATTATGTGTATGGTATGTGGTAGTTTGGGGAGACTCACTAAGCTTCGTGCTTACAGTTTTTAGTTTTGGTTTCAGGTACTTCAGGTAGCAAGGGGAAGATTGCAGGATGATTGCAGTGCACACACCATTTGATTAGCCTGGGTGGTGGTTGTTGAGGCCAACAAAATAAATAACCCTAAATCTTTTACACTAAAATAGTGTATAGTGGTAAAGGGGTCGAATCCACGGAGATTGGTTCAATTTGTTACTCAATGAAAATCTCTTTGTAAAAATACTTGTTAAATAACAATAAAA